CTGGGTGCTCCGGTTTCCTCCCACAGCCCGAAGATGTGCAGGGTAGGTGGATTGGCTGTGCTAAGTTGCCCATAGTGCCCAGGGATGTTTGGGGTAGATGGGTTAGATGCAGGAAATTAGGGGAATGTGTCTGGGTGGGATGCTGTTCAGAGGGGCCGTGTGGATTTGTTGGACCAAATGGCCTGTTTCCACACTGTAGGGATTCTAAATTCTAAACCAAATGTTGCCCTCGTGGTGTGATAAAGATGCTGTACGCCCACATTCACATTGTCTCCATTGAAACGCTGTGCAGATGAGAGAGGGGCAGTAGCTCTATCCTCCCTTTAGAGCTGGCAGTCAGAACGCCATGACCAGCATATCTGCAGTGCAATACCTTCTCCAACTAGCACTAATGAAGGGCATAAGCTGTCTCCTTCAGATCAGGTTCCCCATACAGTTCATGTCCAGGTGATCTGTTACAGTGCAATGCAGATCCAAAATGGCAGCGGAGTAGGCAGCTTCTGGGCTCAGCCTAGGGCTTATCCTTTCTGTCCACATTTTTGTCTTTTCTTCTCAAATTTTTTCTCTTAATCCTTTTTACTGACCTTGGCTTGTGAAGAAAGGTGAGGGCCTGCAGTGGAAGGGTTGGCCAGTAGTTTCAGGGCCCAGTGCGCTCAGCTTGTCACAGATCTCAAATCTAGCAGTGCGTAGGGAGAGTGAAACCATATGGGGAAAGCCCACCATGTGGAGAGACTGCAAGCTGTAGAATGGCTACAGTGTTTATCTTTTAAATCTATTTCTTTATCTTCCTAATTTATGCTGTGAAGAACTGTAATGTGGAATTTTTTTTTTAGCTTTTCTCTTTATTTCTGTTTTTTGTACCTAATCTATTTTAGTACCTAGGTACTTTGTACATTAGGTGGTGCCTAGTGTAAGAATATTACACACATTTCACTGTAGTCTTGTACTTTGCACTTGAGTACACGTGGCAATAAATCTAATTCCAAGACAGAAGATGCTGCTTAATGCTTTATTCCAGAAAACGGGCTATATGGTAGACAATGAGGACGTGTGAGGGTCACAGTTAGGAAAATTAAGACTATCTTCAGAAGGACAGTATCTTCAGCTTCCTACAGCGTGCCTGGCTTAGCTAAAATAACACTGACAGCAACTGAATTCACAGTTCAATCAGTGAAATCATCTTTCATGACTGTAAATGTTTTGGCGTTGAGGCTAGCATTTCCTGTTTATTGTCCAATGTTCACTGGTCTGATGGTGAAAATGTAACACATTTGAAAATGTGCTGATGTAATTTCTTCAAACTCATCTGCGTTTCTATATTCCCTCATTAAGTTTACTGAAGTTTAGGGCAGCACGGTGGCTCAGTGCTTAGCACTGCTGCCTCACAGCGCCAGGGACCCGGGTTCGATTCCACCCTCCGGCGACTGCCTGTATGGAGTTTCCACATTCTCCCCATGTCTGTGTGGGTTTCCTCTGGGTGCTCCGGTTTCCTCCCACTGTTCAAAGATGTGCAGGCTAGGGTGGATTAGCCGTGCTAAATTGCCCGTAGTGTTCAGGGGTGTGGAACTTAGGTGGGCTATAGGGGGATGGGTCGGTGTGGACCTATTGGGCTGAAAGAGCCTGTTTTCATACTGGAGGGATTCTATGCTTCTTCTAAGTCTAGCAGCTGGGCTTGACAAGCCTGTTGTCTTTGCAAATGAAGGTGGGTCACATGAAGACTAGAGAGCCCAGCAAAGCTGAGGGTATCCCAGCCAGTCGCACTTAGGCAGCTGAAGACGAAGGGCCTGGAGCACTCTGGAATGTCCTAGGAGGAGAGTTATCAGGATGGAGTGTCTGTACGAAGTCCTGCAGCTGGATGCCTGTTGGCACCAGCCCTTCACTTTGCGAGGAATGAGGTCAAGGCCCCTTGTCCCCCCTCAGTATTGCTCAACACCCATGGCTAAAGCAAATGGAGTGCATGTGTATGCATATATCTGGCAAACATCGAAGTGTGCTAGACCTGGGTCTCCAAGGTGGTCACTAGCCTGTCTGTCAAGACAGCCAGACTCATACATGCCAGAGCTAGCACAGTACAGATAGCGTCTTTTGATTCTGTTTCCCGAGTCTCTTTGACAGACCTGCCTGCTGTTCCTGTGTCTGCATCTGCAATTTAATGAAGTTATTATTGGCCTGAAGCTAAGTTGGCCTCTGGCAGTCCTGAGTTTTTCCTTGCCAAACTGCGGAGATGTCTTATTGTTTTGGCTCAAACTGTATTTAAAAAGTTTAATGTAGGAATCCAGACAACAAATTGAACATGAATATTTGGCATATGCACATCAGGACAATCTGGAAAGTTAAATAACCAAGAGACTGTGGGCCAGGAGTGATATTAATAGGCTAGAAGTACCAGCACAGACACAATGGGCCAAATGGCCTTCCTCTGTACTATACATTAGAGTTTGAAATGAAAAAAAAGTTGTTTTTTTTTGCATATGTTCCACTAACCCCATCTCTGTACTGAGAGGTCCCATTCTCTCCCACTTACAGTTTAATTTATACCCATTTTACATCTCTCTTTCTCTTTCACCATCACTGAAAACCCCTTTGCCTTCTATGCACAACCTCAGCTTCATATGCTCCCTTGCTCCTCCTCTGCCTCTGTCAAAAGAATATAAACAAAAACGTCAAACTCCTTTCAGTTCTGAAGAAGTCATACCAGACTTGAACTGTGAACTCTGATTCTCTCTTCACAGATGCTGCCGGACCCATTGAGTTTCTTTAGCATTCTCTATGTTTGTTCACAATTGCAGTGCCCACAGTGCTTAGTTTTTAATCATTGTTATTAATCGGGCTAATAGAACAACTCAGTTTTCATGGAGAAAGGTCCCAACATTGGAAGGTCACCCACTCATCTTTATGTGGTGTATTGGGATGGTTTTTGTCTCTGTGCGTGCAGATTAGGACAATGTTTAGCACAATTTGAAAGATGGCAGCCCAACATGGCAGCACTCCCAATACAGCACAGCAGTGTTGGTCTGAGTTACAGGCTCAAGTCTCTGGAATAGGACATGACCCACAAGCTTGACTCAGTGGTCAGAATGCTGTCTACTGAGCTATAGCTAACAAACACAACAAGTACTGTTCCCTTCACCCCTGCATGTCTTCAAATGTAATTCCAAAAGAACCTTCTAAATGTTTCATTGAGCACTGACAATTTTCCTGCTCTCTTCTCCAACAGGAGAAGATGAGTATCATCCTTGTCCTCGCTGCAATGTGGCATTTACCACTGCTGATTTTCTCCAGAAACACATCAGAAGACATCCTGGATTGTGTGGTCAGTATCTGAGGAGTCATGAATGGTGCTGAACATTGTACAATCATCGGCAAACATTCCCACTTCTGACCTTATGACGGAGAGAAGGTCATTGATGAAGCAGCTGAAGATGGTTGGGCCTAGGACACTACCCTGAGGGACTCCTGCAGAGATGTCCTGGAGCTGGGATGACTGACCTCCAACAACCACGACCATCTTCCTATGTGTCAGGGCTGAAATGGCAATGACCACTTCCAAAAAAAAAGAGAATCTCATCATTGCCCCTTGGCATTATCATCACTGACTCACTCACTATCAATATCATGGAGATTACTATTGACCAGAAAGTCAGTTGGAGCAGCCATATAAATATGTGGCTACAGGAGTAGGTCAGAGGCTAGTTATACTGGACCACAAAGATCACCTCATGACTCCCCAAATCCTGTCTAATTTATAAGACACAGACAGGAGTATGGTGCATCCTACTTGCCTGGATGCGTGCAGTTCCAACAACATTCAAGAATCTCAATACCACCCAGGAGAAAACAGCTCTCTTGATTGGGACCACACCATCAAACATTCACTCCCCCAAACATGGACGCTCAGTAGCAGCAGTGTTTACCATTTACAAAGTGTACTGTAGAAATTCACCGAAGCTTTTTAGACAGCACCTTGCAAACCTACAACCACTTCCATCTAGAAGGACCAGGGCAGTAGATACGTGAGAATCATGATCCACAAGTTCTCCTCCAAATTACTGCCCTGACTTGGAAATATAACACCATTCCTTCACTGTCGCTGGGCCAGAATCCTGGAATTCCCTCCCCAATTGCACTGTGGGTCTACCTACAACACATAGAATGCAGCAGTTCATGAAGGCAGCTCACTACTACCTTCGAAAGGGGTAACTGGTGATGGATAATAAATGCTGGCCCAGGCAGCAACACCCATATCCCATGAATGATTTTTAAAATATTAAGTTATAGTAGAATTTATGTTGACAAATTAACCACTAAATAACTCCTGCACTAAAATTCTCCTTGCTTTCATCAACTGTTTAAAAGTTAGCATGGAGAAAGTGTAATACAAATAGTTTAACAGCATTTTTTAATTTCAAAAATATCCTTATAAAATTTCATAAAAATATCTTTCTATAAGTAGTCACTAAGGCAGTTCAGTTCTGTGCAGTAGCATGGGGAGAAAACATTGATGTTTGACTCTATCCAACAAGCAAACCAAAGACAACAAAAACAGAAGTTGCTGGAAAATATCAGCAGCTCTGGCAGCATCTGTGAAGAAAAAAATCACAGGACCCAAAACTTTAACTCTGAGGTTTTTCTTCACAGGTGCTGCCAGACCTATTGAGTTTTTCCAGCAACTTCTGTTTTTGTTCCTGATTTGCAGCATCTGCAGTTCTTTCAGTTTTCAAACAATCCAAAGACATTTCTTGCGTCTACAAAACTATATTTACATTTAATTGAAGCATTGGAAGGTCTAATAACTGAACGGATTCCCATTTAACTTCAGCAGAAGGATCTTAAGTGGTGGTCTTTCCCCCACTGCTCCTTGGCAACAGCTGCCCTAAGCTTTAGTGCATCCCTCAGCACATAGTCCTGAACCTTAGAATGTGCCAGTCTGCAACATTCAGTCAGGGTTGATTCCTTGTTCTGGAAGACCAACAAGTTTCAGGCAGACCAAAGTGTGTCTTTCACTGAGTTGTTCGTCCTCCAGGTATGTCCCAGGAACAATCTGTGGGTTTTGTGTCATGCAGTCTGACACAAAAGGACTTGCTGATCCTCAGGATGTCAGACTGAGTTGTTGTTACCGAGCTATCTTCTTCCATCAGGCTGCTGAATGCAGAGATCTCCTCGTGCACCTTCTTGAAAAAGAAACACAAGCATGCTGTTATGAAATGGAAATTGACGCCCCTTTCCGGCAACTAAGACTGAAACACCCAGAGAAGCTCGTTATGGCTCATAATCTGTTAAAAGAAGTGTGAAAAGTGGTATATCTCACCACCTCCCTCCCCGCCCCCCCCCCCCCCCCCCCCGCCCCCACCAAATCTGTTATAAAGGAGTGGTTAAATGAAATGAAATCCTTTCACTCACTTTATAATCAACCAGTAACAGAACTACTAACAAACCGAACAATTCCCCCTTAAGTACTAACTATTCTTGAATAAACAAAATTCTACTGGTATGCTGTTCCAATAAATACAAGTCCCACTTATATAAAATACTATAAAAATTAGAATTGCATCTCTCTAAATTACAGCCAGGATATGTCTTCCAGAATGCTTCACACCCTCACCTTCATACCCTCTCCTTCACACCCTCCAAAGGAGGAGCACCTCATCCTTTGAATTCACGTTTCGGGAACTTCTCTCTCTGTCAAATTTTTGTGTCGAGAACATTAGCGAAGAGTGTTGCTGTGCCTTTAGTCAGAAGATTGTTACTCTGAGCTGAGAGATCTAATTTCTTCAGATAGCAGTCCGTTCTCCCCTGATTTTCAAACATCCTCTTCTTTTATACCCTTGATGACCTATTAATTTTTTACAATCAGATTGGTCCGAGATTGTCAACACCATCAGATTTAAATTTGATACATGTTTAGTATCGAAGGGCTTGGTTCAAATTGATTGGCTAAATGTAAAACTTTATTATCTTGGTAAAAATGCCCTTTTGCCTACTAACAGTGTAGTCTTTTGCAACAATTATTTCAACTTGAGCACCTGCAACTGTCAAGCTTCTGCCCATGACTTTGCAACAACATCGCATCCTGGTTCACGGAGTGGATCCTGGACTGGAAGATTATCTTGGAGGCCTCCAAGGCTGGCTCTCCACCTCCTGGAGATCCTCCATGACCTCAACCGTATCGTCTGCAGCAGGAGTAGATTCTGCAAGCTTTTCTGGAGTTTCGGTCATTTTCCCTCATCTCGCTCTCTCTCTCTCACCTTCCAAACACCTTTGTAAATAGTTTGATAGCTACAGCAACATTGCACTTGCATAGCATATTCCATACATGAAATGAAGAATTACATTGCTCCTTTGGATCAGCAAATATTTTTAGAACCAAAAACAGAAATTGCTGGAAAAACTCAGGAGGTCTGGCAGCATCTGTGGAGAGGAATCAGAGTTAACACTTCAGGTCCAGTGACCCTTCCTCAGAACTGATAGTCGTCAGGAGTAGTTGGCTTTTATGCAGAAGATAGGGTGGGGGGAGATTGTGAAAGGAGTATGATAGGTAGCGACAGAGCCCAAAGAGACAGAAATATAGTTGGGCAGACAAAGGAGTGGATAATGGTCAGCCTAGGACAATGTAATAGACTCTATTAGTGACTAATAATGGATGATGTATAATAGCAGACCATGTGATAACAAGGCCTGGTGTATGGAGTTGGGAGAAGCACGGGGAAAGATTCTCAAGCCCTAAAGTTGTTGAACTCGATATCGAGTCCAGAAGGCTGTAGAGTTCCCAAGTGGAAAGTGAGCACTGCAGCAAGCCTGAGACAGAGATATTGGCCAGGGAACAAGATGGTGTGTCAAAGTGGCAGGGAACTGGAAGTAAGCAATCTCTGACTCCTCAACATCTCTGTTTCTACACTAAATAAAAACCGAAAGAACTGCAGATGCGTAAATCAGGAACAAAAGCAAATTTGCTGGAAAAGCTCAGCAGGTCTGGCAGCATCTGTGAAGGAGAAAACAGAGTTAACGTTTC